TTGGTAGATATTCGGTTTCGCTCTTTCTGAACCAAGGGACATCACTTTCATGCCAATTCATTAACTTTTTTGGAGGTGGGAGGGTCCCTTTAAAAAATCGCTGCGCTCCAACGCAACAGCGGAACCTCAGCACACTTTCTAAAAACAAAGTTTTGGGCTTTCTTCATATATTTAAATGACTCCCAGTTACATAAAAATGATAGGTAACCTTCATGTTACGATGGCTTGAAGTTACCCGTCCGATAATACCCAATTTTCCCCTAATTTCACAAAAAAATGCGCCACTCAAACTTTTGATTCCGATAAATTCCGCTGGATGATCACTGAACTACTGAACCGCCTATAGGCGTTGGTTCAAAGGGGTTATACCCTCGAAACAACAAACGTCAAGGACAGCCGTAAGTTAAGATTTACATCACCCGCGAATTCGAAAGGTGCCAACTGCATGCTTTCCCTGAGTCTCTTTCATACTCTATATCGCATACTTTCTTTGGGACATCGTCAATAGAATACCTAAGTCGCAAACAAAAACCAATGCTGATCAGGGGTGGACAAATGTGCCGAGTTGGGGTAGCACGAGTCTTCCCAATTTCACGCCGGCTGCGCCGGCTTGGCTTTGGAGCTGCACCAGACGGCGGAGGTCAAGGTCACCGCTAGGGCGGCGGCGGATTTGCTGCGCCCGTGCAACCCCAACTCGGCATATTTCTCCACCCCTGATGCTGATTGAGCTTGAATCTATAAGGGAGATCCGTGTAAGACGCCCAGGGTCGGTAGGAGGCCCCAACGCTTTTTTTGCCAAACAAACGATATTTATTTTTAATGTTTTTGCAAGGCCCTTTTGAACAAGTCACGAAACCTGGGGCAGCAGGCACGTTGCAGCGACTTTTGGTAAGCGTGTTTCTTATTTTGCCCCTTTTCTCGCTAGATATATGCATACATCTTTATCGCCTTGATTTATCTGGAAAAGCTCATGGCTGTCAAATAAGGCCTTTTCCTACATGCCGGGGTATGTCTTAAGCACAGCACGAGCCGGGCAGTAAAACTATGACCAAGAAACTGTCGGTGTCAAAATGCCATGTTATTTGATAGGCCGGGCAGGAAACAAAAGTTTACTGCCCGAGTTTACTGCCCAGGGCAATGACCTCTAAACTACAGTTTATCGCATTAGCCCAGAGGTATAATTGATAGGGAATGTATAATTGACATCATTATTGCATGATATTTGCCGCGTAAAATTAGAAAACTAACATTTTTTTGGTAAAAAAATATCTGATCTGCTTATTAAGAGTTTTGAAATGCTTAGTATTGGTTACAAAGCCGAAATTATGGCAAGATATGCTCCTATTAATCGAAATCCGTTATCGCTTGTTTCTTATCTTCGTTTGATATGTCCACTGATACCTTGGGCCTAAGTTATTGCGTTATTATTTGACAGTTGTAGTCCTTTCCTCGAAACAAACATGTAAAATATGGAAAATATAATGTATTTCACGAAAGTTTAGCCATAGGTCATCAAAAAAGTACGATTACATAAATAAAGAAAAGATTCTTGCAAGGGCACTGGAAAATTCACGTTTAATCACTAGGAATATTACACCTTCTACCTTCTTCTTGTTCTTATGTCGTGGCAAATTATTCATGCATGATGTTCCTTGGATATCCAATTGTTGTGCCATTCTGAGTTGATATTTTCAGACGCGATTCTTTTTGAAGTGAGGTATTTTGATGCATTTTCTTCTATAAATTTCCTTTAAAGCTTTATCCACAGCAGTAGCGCAATCACTGTTCGCAAAGTATGCACAAAACAATTAACAATTGTATAAAAGTGTCACCAAAACCTGTCGAAACTACTTAGCATGTATGCGGCATGTAGGAAAAATCTTACTGACCTCAGCCGTACGAAATTATTTGGAAACTCGGTTTGCAAAATTCTCCGGCCCTCGTGCTTCGCACTCGGGCCTACGTCAATTTTGCAAACCTCGTTTCCAAATAATTTCGTCGGCCCGGTCAGTAATATATAATCCCACCGAAATTGTCCCATTTTCATTTAACTTAAGGATAGACCATGTTCTGGTGCTCTGCAAAAATCGGATGAAACATATTGTGACGCTAGAACACTGCATTTTTTTAAGAGGTTGACAAGGTTGAGGCACACACCTTGTCACACCACCTTGACAAGAGGTTGACCCTCCCTTTAAAGGTAGTGTGCCAGCTTTCTTGGACCGTATGGAGTTAATGGCCCAGATAAGGAGAACCGGATTTTTAGAACTTATCCATACCTTCAAAACTCATGGAAACGTCTTAAATTCTTCAAATTTTGAGTACCCCAGTGCGAAATTAGCCCCGACGGGTTGTCGGTCGTACCCCAACCACATTTCACACCACTATGAACAATAAATGCACACACTGAAATCGCTATTACCGATATGCTCATCCAATCAAGTTTCGATAAACCCGTTCATCATCATCTCCTGCGGTTTCGAACACGCCTGTTAGGTGGCTTCTGATGCTCGTCGAGGTCGGAATTTCCAAATACGCGTGGTGCGTCGGGCCGCGCGCTCTGACTTCGGCCAAGAAAAATGCGTCAGCTGATCATTGTCATTTCTGCCACTTGCGTGTGGTGAAATGGGGTCATAACTTATAAGACGGCTTTTTCATATCAATTATTTTACATAAAATCATATTTCAAACCATAAATAATGTTCGACAGCCAAATAAAAGAAACAATACCAATACGGGCTTACAGTTTAAGGCTCGGCATTGTGTTGTCTACGATTAGACAGCTGATAACTCATTCCCGTACGTCGTATGGTCGTAACACTATAATGACCTTTGCTTATTGTCACAAGTGCGCCGCATTCGCGATTGTTGCCCGACGCCTGTTTGCAGGTGAGCCCACTACAGTTGTTATACATATCTAAAAACCGAAAAACTTTTAGGCGAAAAAGGCACTATTCCAGGCCCATTTTTGATTTTTTTGCGATATTAGGTAAAAACAGAAGCTTCTTATCCTAGGAAAAATAAAATGGGAAATCTTTCAAAGGTGGCACACTACCTTTAACCCTATTAGTGGCAGGCTCCTGGCTACCCCCTATTAGTGGCAGGGGGGGGCTGTTTACGACCCCCCCCCCTTGATATCTCGAGATCTAACGGGCCGATTTTCAAAATTCAAACGGCATTCGATTTCGCTCAACGTGATCTACATTTCTAAAAAATAAAAATTAAAAAATGTCAATAGGGGGGGGGGTAGAGGGGGGTAAAAACGGGCAAATTGCAGATACATTTTAGACTGTTTATCACGGCCAGGTTTCTGAACCAATCTTAACGCAACTTTTGCCGATCGATAGAGAATGAACCAGGAATTCACATGGATCCTAAAAATATGCATTTTCAAAAATCATAGGCGGATACAGATCATTGAGATTGGGGGTGCACAAAAAGTATAGTAAATAAGGTTTTTGTTGGTACTGTTTCTAAAAAGGGTGGTAATGGTCTTGTTATTTTACAATTTTCTTATGAGAGAACGACTACAATTGTATTGGTCATGCATAGGCGGTGTCAGGGCACCTATGTTGGGAGGTAAAACATAACCCCCCTTTTTGGACGCCTGGATCCGCCTATTATAGCAAAAACGTGTCAAAAGAGGATGTACAATAACTTTGTATATGTTATCACATGATACCTTTCATTCACTGTTCGTAAAACTGGTGCAGCATCGTGATCTTCGCCCAAATAACTCGCTTCACGAATAGGAACCCCAATTCCCAGTGCTCTGGAGCCGCCCCTGGTAAAGTTATGAACTTGAAATTTTCAGGGAATGTGCCCAATTTAGTTTTAGGAAAAGTCAGAAAATTTCAGCATCGTAGCTTCAGCGGTTTCGGAGATATTCCCGAAAAACCTGAGGGGTGGATAAAAACAACCCCCCCTGCCACTAATAGGGTTAAGTAGCTATGATATGTTGGTGATAGGCCAATAACGAGTTAATACAGTTTGCGAACACCTGTTGAGTTCGTTTCGTTCTGTTGGGCAAGCAGAGGTGGTGATAGGTTATAGCTGACATCGATTCGTTCGATTACTTTCGCTATAGTCATTCGTTGGTCATCGTTTTTGTGCTAATTTTGGCATTGTTCGAGCACTACGCCACCACGGAAGTGTTTTTGGTTTCAATAACGCTTTATTTGCCTAGCTTTTCGAAGTAAAAGGCCTTGCAGTTGTGGTCGCAAAGCGTCTTTGGCTTACGATCGACTTGTAAAACAACCAGGGCGGGGGTCTTAATTCTTATCATACCCGTTGTGTAAGAGACCCTTTTTGACACTGCAAAATGTTAAAGTTAATGTTTAGTGTGTCCCCTAGATTCATTTTGAATGCAAATATATGATGAAGTTACTTATGTTCACAGCGCATGCACGTTGGCTGTTCATCAGTTGTCTAAAAATTGCAACTGAATTAGGGGGGCTCGTGCACCACTCTCCCTATTCTATCTACATTCGTAGACAGCAAATGTCAACGGGCGCCTTTTGTCCAGAGGGTAGAGCGCATCCGCCTGTTGGAAATATCTGTATAGGAGCGGCGGTACGCAGCCCTCCAGCCTGTTCTGTTCCAGCTGCTGTGCTGCTGTCCAATCAGCCGTAAAAATCTGCAGCTTGACTGGTAATGTCCCCAAACGGCTGACGAGCAGCGCCAGCGAGTTGGGTGGTGGAAGCTTTCGGTAAAATAGCACCACTAGATGGCACTAGTAGTAGGCGCCTGAACTTAGACTGCGCCGCAAAGCTCCATAACAATGAACGGCTGGCTGCATTACGGACGCAGCATTGGCGGTTGCCGGTTATTAAAAGAAGGAGTGCCGAGTGTAGAAGCAAGCAGCATTCGATCATTGTTTTTATCTCATCTGCCTTCAAGGATTGTATCGGTCTTGATGTCACGGCGTGGCAGCCGAGACACATTTCTCGACTGCTGTGTGTAAAGCCTTTGAGAATGACCATGATAGTAGCAGTGCCATGTATTCATGCTGAACTTGTATTTATCTTCGACGTATTTCGGAACCAGTTGACCTTTATAAACACTCAAGAAGCTCACAAACAGCCTTGCGATATAGGCATTTATATTATAACGACTTACGTCTCACAGTCTGCAACGAACCTAAAACACGCTAATGCTGTTTCCATTACTGCTAACACGCATGGCACAATAAAAGAAAGAAAATGCAACATTACAAGACAATGGACCTTATCGAAGACAATGTTATTCATTGGTTTTTGAATGATGTAAACGGCAAGCAGTTCACCCAACTGAGTATCGAAGTACCCGATCTCACGGACAGTCTTCGTCTCACTGAGTGGTCTCGGTCTCTAGCCATGCGAAATAATGTCTTTCCACCAAACTGATAATAGCCCGAAGACTATGTTCTCAGTTGATCGGAAATCATAGCACAGACGCGCGATGCTGCACACATTCGATGAGATTTACCATTTAGCGAATTATCTGCCCTGTGTGGTAACAAAAGGCAAATGTTTGTCTTTTGGCCTAATACAAATTACAAACGTCTGTCTATTGCCGCCAAGTTGGATAAAAGATACACAACGATGAGCCCGAGCCCCGATCTATGGAGCCTCGCGCGTCTAGGTGTTACGATTTCCAAGTGATCGATAACATAGCCTTTGTTTCATTCTCGGTTTTGTTGAAAAACAATACCTACCCCGCGCTGAGACGAGCTCCGTGCCTACGCAGCTGACTCACATGCACTCTACATCAGCGCTCTGCATATAGGCCCCGCTGGAAGGAGCGTAGCTTCTTGAAGCCAATGACTAAAGTTGTTAATGAGGGTAGGGTGACTTGATTTTTTTTTATATTAGAATCGGTCCAAACAACTATCAAGTTATAAAAGGTCATCACCATGACAGGACAATCAGTACCAATATGATGTATGTTTCTATTGCTACTACAATGGTAAAATCCAGACTCAGTGTTACGGTGCACGATTCAACACAATCACACAAGGCACTGTTCGCAACATTTCACCACATATATTACACTTTTCTAAAAAAAAGGTCACTTTTCGCTAAACTAGCGGCAAAACCCAACACTGACTGTGAACACTGTCCAGATAACCTCGGCGCTCAAATCAAACATTGTCTCGATCCTTAGCCCGCCCGACATGTTCCACTCGGGCAAGTGGTAGGTAACTACAGTAACACTCGGCATATAAGGCTGCTGCAGGCCGGCCAGACGACTAGTCTTTTAGCCCTCTGGGCGCGCTAGTGCTCTGAGCTCCGGTCACCCAGCATTCTGGGTACACTAGTCGTGTAGTCCTCTGATCGCGCTAGTCCTCTGGTTTTTGTGATGGCACTAGTCCTCGACGTTGATGGGCTGCGCCGACTCGTCCTCGGCCGAGGGCTGGGTGGAGTCTACCACCGGCGTCTCCTCGGCCGCCCGCTCGGCGGCCTGCCGCGAGTTGCGCCACTTCATACGCCGGTTCTGGAACCACACCTTCACCTGTGGAACCAACAGATACAGTATATGTTCAGCTAAAATAACACCGAGGACCGGGCGCGGTGATTATCGTGCCGCGGACCTTGTGGGCCTGTTATCATTGAAGACAAGCCACGACGTCGCATAACCGATGTAGAACGACCTTCAAGAAAAATTGTGCTTGCCTTCATGTGAAGCTTGTTTTACATTAAATACTACAGCTCCATCGACAGACAGTTTTTAGAAGCGTAGACGTTGGCCCCACGATTGCAATGGAATGCACCGTTCCGCTCCAACCCCTTCCCTCACCCCATTTTCGTCACCCCTGGTGTCAGAACACCAAAAAGACCAATGAAGTGGCTCTATCGGCAGATCTCCTGTTAAACAGATACCCAAGCACCCCATTCAACCCACTGAGCCCCGCCCCCAGTATAAAACACCGCTCGGTATGCACGTCACGGCTGATGTGGAACGAACTGGGCCGTAAGTCGTGCCGATGACCGGCCTGTCGGGGCGCGGCTCCGACAGCGCCCACGTGACCCGTATCACGCTGGGGACACTGAGGGTGGACACGGAGCGCCCGACTCCAGAGGCGGGTACGGATCAGTGCTCCGAGGAGCCGTGACCGACACGCGCTACATTATAACAGGATAAATGTGTGCGGTTAGGCTGACTACAAACACATTCGAAATGAAATGAATCAGCTCGCTGGTACTCTAATCCCAAATATGACGTCTATATTGGTATGCAATTTTATCCCACGCTTTGCATGTGTAGGTGTGTACTGTATGGGAAAGGTCGGACATGAACTGTAAGGTCGGGCATGAACACCATCGTTAGTAATGACGCCCGCTAAGCGCGTTCCACGTGTCCCGCTGTCGGTCACGGGGTCTGAGCGCGCCCCTGGCTGGTCAGCAGGGGTCGCTCCGCCGCCACGGCAGTCTCCGGCGCTAATTGGCTGTGACGCAGCCTCGCGGGAGACCTGAGTTACGAGCACATCCGTCATCGGAGAGGGATGAGAGCCAACGGCCGGGGAATGCCAACCGAGGGTGGCTGGGTCATGTGGCGGGTTCCCCATGGGACGGTCACCATGATACTGGACCGGTACCACCACACTATGTAGTCGGTCACCGCCACTGGACGGTCAACACACTCGGCGGTCACCAATCACCAACGCTGGACCTGTCACTACAATGGACACTGGGCAGCAGGGGCGTAGGCAGGGGGGGCCACTGGGCCATGGCCCCCCCCCCTTGGGCCCGAAGGCGCCCTTTGCGATTGGAGGGCGCCGAAGGCGCCCTCCAATCGCAAATGCAATTGTGATATAATCGAATCGAAAAACAATCGCGACTGGAGGGCGCCCTCCAATCGCGAATGTGTTTACAGGGAAAATACGGATGGAGGGCGCCCTCGGAGGACGCCCATTCCAAATACGCCCTCCAAATACGGTTGGAGGGCTCCCTCGGGCGCCCTCCAACCACATTTGTATAGGCTGTAGCTCTCTAAGCGTAACGGTGGTCGCCTATGTAAGCCGCTGTCCTGTAAATAAGCGCCCTCTCACCCGAAGGCGCCCTCCTGTAGGTCGCCACCCTGCTACACATTGCCGCCCTTCTGCTGATCGGCGTCCTCATAATTATTGGCGCTGCGCTCTCCTACCTATTGAGCCCTCATGTGAAATTTTGAAGGCCGCCTTTCTCCCTTTTGGCACCCTCTTGTTCAGTGCCGCCCTCCTACCTATTGGTTCCCTAGTCCTTCCTGTTGAATGTTAATCGGGGCCCTTCTCCTATTGGCGCCCTCGTGTAGATCGCCGCCCTCCTAACCACTGGCACCCTCCTGTTGATCACCGCCCTCCTATCCACTGGCACCTTCCTGTTGACCAGCGCCCTCCGCACAGACGCCCTCCTGTTCGTGTCATCCTCTTGAGCAAAGGCGCCCTCCTCACCATTGCCACCCCCATTTTAATCGTCACCCTTCCGCTCATTGGCGACTTCCAGTTGATGACCGCCCTCCCACCTATTGGCGACCTCTTGTTGATCGCCACCCTCCTATTGGTGCTCTCCTGTTCCTCGCCACCCTCTTACCTGGTGGCGCCCTCCTGTTGATTGTTGATCGGCGCCCTCCTACCTATTGGTGCCCTCCTGTTGATCGCTGCCCTTCTTCTATCCATTGGCGCCCTCCTGCTGCTCGCCAACTTCCTACCTATCGGTGCCCTACTGTCGAAACTCGGGATGTTGATCGGGGCTCTTCTACCTATTAGTGCCCTCCTGTGGATCGCAGCCATTCTACCTATTGGCAACATCCGTTGATCGCTGCCCTCCTATCATTTATTTACTCCTTTGGCATGTTTTTCAACTTAGTCGTTCTATTGCACATAGTTGATGTCTTGCCTGTGAAAACTGCCACAAATGAACGTGCATTCAGCACAATGAATGAAGTATCTATACCTACCAAAACTATCTACGCTCTACGATGCATAAAACACGTCTTTGGTCTTAACGGATTGATCCTACTTTACGTGCATCATGGCATCTATATGGATTACGATTAAGTATTGTCAACAGGTTCGGGCGCAACAGCAGGCATCTGAAGTTTCGGTGATTGAAACTGGTCATGTGGGTACACTGTATGCATCTGTGAGAAGGCTATGAAGGCTGGTCTGAGGTAATTTGGATGATGTTTACGCATCTCGCGCTCCGGTATCAATCCGATACGGTGATCTGGTGCGTAGATATGCCACCGCCAATAAACTTTTATACATCGACACCCATGAGCCAAGCTTTCTGTACAGCTTGTGTGGCAGCGGCCCGACCAAATCTTAGGTATTTTTTACACCTTCAAATTTGGTAAAAGAGCGAGAGGAGCTTTGAACAGTGATCGTATAAAAGGCGTGCCTAAAAAGCGGAGGAAAAGGTTGTTTTCAAAAATTTCGCGCGCCTTCGGCGCAGCATTTCAAGAACACTTGACCTTTTGTGACCTGGAGTACCTATAAAGAATACACACGATGCAAAATCAATGCAGCACGACCTATACGAGGTTACGCAAAAAAAAACTGGTGGCATGGTAAAAAACGCCTCCCAACCCCCCAACCCCCACTGAGCGATTTTTTATCTCGCGACCGTATGGCGCCCTCCTTGGGTGAGGTGGCGCCCTCCAAACCCTTGGCCCCCCCCACCTTCGCGATTTTCTAAATACGCCGCTGCTGGGCAGTCATGAAGATACTGGCTGGCCACCACTTCAATGCACGGTCACTGTCACATTGGACGGTTACCACTCGCTGCTCACTGGATGACGCCGTGCTTTGGAGCTCACCTGTAAGTCGGTGTGTCGGAGTTACCAAATGGGAGTTATCGATGGGGGTTACCAAAGCTCAACCTTTGACAGGCTGCAGGCCGTCATGTCGACGTTGACGGGCCCGACACCGGCAGACTGACATGTGTGAACTGCGTTTTACGGTCTCACCTGTGACTCGGTGAGAGTCGCAGTCAGCCTCACCTGCGAGTCGGTGAGGCCGAGCGTCTCTGCCAGTTTCCTGCGCTCCGGTTTGGTGATGTAGCGCTGCACGGTGAACCGCTTCTCCAGCCCCTTGCGCTGGAGGTTGGTGAACACGGCCCGTGTCCAGGTGCGTTTGCGGCGCGCACCCAGCCGCCGGCCAGCCACCAGCGAGGAGGGGTACCGACAGTCTGTTACAGGGGAGGGGTATCGACAGTCTCTTATAGGGGAGTGGTACCGACAGTCTGGGACAGAGACAAGGCAGGGTACTGTTCAACAGATAATGTAGAATAACGAACCCTGGCGAGCGGATATGTGAACCTCTTCACAGACCAAGAAATATCGCGCTGTTGCAACGGTCTCGGTGCCAAGAATTTGACAAAGTTTTTTATGACCAGAATCACTTTGAACTTGACCTTAGGTCAACGTTCAATTTACCTCTTCAACCAATGCTTATGAGTTATAACTTCACACTGCTGTGAAACACAAAGCCGGCAGTAACTACCAAAATTGTTATGCTGCGATCATTTTAGCTGAAATAAACGATCTTAAAAAAGTGGATCTGTAAATTGGTCTGACCTGAACCGTGATCGGTTGATTTGAGACATGATCATATGAAGAAAACCAATAGGTCTAATGACGGGTTTACTCAATTCCGTTGCAATAAGTCTCCTCAATGGGCCGAACTCTGGGCCGTATGTCATTCCAGTGGGGTCACACTCTGGGCAGTGGGGTCACAGATAATCGCGCGTCCTGCCTTTAACACAGAAGTGCACGTACCGGCCGCCTGGATCAGGTGATGGCACGTGACCGGCCACGGGTCGGGGCAGGTAGCGCACAGTCGCGGCGCCGGCTCGGCCGGCCGGCTCCCCAGCTGAAGGTACGGCACCAGCGGCGGCGGCGGCGCGCACAGTGGGTACAGGGCAGGTCGGAGCGGCGGCAGCAGGGGGCCGGCAGCGTGCAGCGGCGAGCGGCCACCGCCGGGTAGCGGCGACCGGAGCCCGCCGGGCAGCGGCAGCAGCGGACCAGTCGGCGGCGGCCACCGCTCCGCAGAACCGCCGCCCGTGGTCGAGTCGGCATCTGCTGGGGAGAACGAGCCGAGTCACTAAGGAAGGGGCAATCGAGCCGGGAGCCCAGGTTAGCACTGGTCGGACCCACCAACTCACCAACTCAACAGCCTCGTTGGTGCCCGATGCTGACGTAATTGTGCCTGGTGTGTCCCGTGGTTAAGTACTCCAATACAAGAAGAGGTAATTTCCTAATTTGTTTGACGATGCAACGAAACTAATAATGGATTATTCCCCAGAATTATGGTTGGTATGGATAAAGATATAGGTACACAGCAGTAGCACGCTCTAGGAGCATGCCTCGGTACCGATGCTGCTTGAAAACACATCGGTTGAACAAACATTTGGAAAGTAATATCTTAAAATCATAAATATTCATTGTACCTGATTGGCTAAGATGGAAGGCAGAAAAATCCAGAGCTGGTAGGGCTTCAATACAAGTTAGCGATAAGCGTGCACGTTTCGTGATAACTAAACGCACAGCACACTCTTGCAATCCAATTACGTCCCAAATTCACTAGTCATCAGTCACCCGCCGATGAGGTTCTTCTGAGTAATGACCGGCCTCCCGTGCTCCCTGCTCCCCTCCCCGCGCCCCCCGCTGAGACAGCAGTAGCCGTCAGCAGGTGTCCCTCACCCCGTTCCACCGGCTCTCGGAGTCTCATGAGAACCCGCCGGCTCCCGGTCCCCGTGGAGCCGCCGACCGGTAACCCTAGCCGGCGCGGCGCCGCCGGCCGACGACAGCTCTGTCATCCCGCAGCGGCCCGGCGCCTACGGGACACACGGGCGCTGACAGTCCGAGAGGAGCTGTTGTGCCGAGCTGTTGGCGAACAGCGCGCCACGATCGGCGGCCGGGGACGTCTCTGAGGGTGTCCCCGTCCCCGGCTCCACTGGCTCCGGCTCCGGGCTCCGGTCTGCATTCAGGCCGCCGTGCCCGGGTCGTTTGGGAGAGCGCTTCGGAAGTGTTTGCTACTTTCTGTATTTCAGGTATCCAACATTGAAGAGTTGCTTTGCTTGTTACTACTCGCCGGACCAGCAGTGGCGGTCTCAGCTGGTGCAGGACGCAGGCCGTCAGCTGGGCTCGGTCATCGTACGTACATCATGCAAGATGCCCTGCAGCCATCAGATCAGCCCAGACCGGCGCGGTGGCCAGCTCAGCCATCAGCCAACTCACGAGCGTGGTTCGGATAGCGCTGAGTGGCCGCTGTGTCGCCCGTCCGCCGAACCCGACACCAGGCTATAAAACAGTCGGCCGGCTAATGCTAACACCGTCATTAGCAGCTCGTCTGAGCTCACATCTCTGCTGATGCTGCTACTACTCAGGAGTCGGTCAAGATCATGTTACAGCGGCGGCTCGTGACAGCCGTTTAATGGACTCTGCGTCGCGTTCAGTTTTTTTTCGCGCATCCCGAGTAGGAAAGTAAATCATAGCCCTGAAATGTAGGGAACCGGTGTCAATGGACTTGCAATTCTGCCGTCTGCCTTCGGTGAGCACGAAGCCATTCAGTGCGTATCTGAATGATAATGCATATTGTCATTTAAGGATGTTCTCTCCGCTTTGCTATAGCATCTTCTCATGTGTTGTAAAACTTCTCTGCTGCCGCTGCTTTTTGTTATGCATCTCTGCATGCATTAGGTAGGGGAGGGAGACCCGGCCCCGGGAGGTATGGGCCGGTTTTGTGAAAAGGCAATTTTCTTCCAGTGGGTAGTGGCTAGACCCATTTTTCACTATGTGTACGTGAAATTTCTCTTCGCCTGCAAAGTGTGCCTGATTTTAGGTATCTGGAACCAAATATTTTGTCTCGAGCTAACTTTCAATAAACCAGCATAACGCCTTTTGGGGCGACTAACGGAGCGAGCGAGAGGGTGGGCCTTGGCCTTGCACGTGCGAAATTGCGAGGCGTTACCTCCAACTGACTTGTGCACGGCACCCTACTAACCGGTCTCTAGCGATGTGCCAAATTTGAGCACAATCGGCCCAGCCGTTCTCGAGATCTGGGAGCGGCACCCTGCACGTGCGCACGTGCAAAATGGGTCCCAACTGGCAACTGGCTTGTGCACGGCACCCTACTATCCGGTCCCTAGCCATGTACCAAATTTGGGCGCAATCGGCCCAGCCGTTCTCGAGATCTGGAATCGACCCCTGCACGTGCGCACGTGCAGCAGCACCCCAACTGTGGCACATGGATATGCATTGCCTGGTGGGTGCCTACCTACATGCCAACTTTCAGCGCAATCGGCCCAGTAGTTACCGAGATATTGCAACTATTTCAAAAGTGATACCTCTTCGTTTTGCACGTGGCACGTGCATAAGGGGTCACCCACATGCATCGGTAATAGTCCAATACTTGGTAGAAGGAATGAAGCTACCCTACAAAAATTACCGCGTGTAAATCGGTCAAGTGGTTGTTAAGATATAAGCGTCGCAGAATCGTGACCACGGCCGGCCGGCCGGCCGGCCGCTCATACTCAGAAATTTCCGTTATTCTACATACGTGACTCCGCTCGCTTCGCTCGCTCCGTAATCATGCGCTTTTCCGATCCATCAAAACACAACGGGAGCCGGGAGATATGAGCCATGGCCCGGGAATGGGCCGGTGCATAGGCGTCGCCAGAGATTTTCGGTTGGGGGGGCAAAATCAACTTTTTGTTAAAACTTGCCTTTCCCCAGTCTTAACTCTCTCGTTTTACATATCATTCGACGCGCAATGGTGCTAGGAATCCGATGGTGACAAAGGTTTCCTTCTAGCTATGACATGTAATTTTTTACAGAAAAAATCGAAATTTTGAAATTTCATGACAAAAACGACTGGTAGAATTATAGTACCTATATAGTGGCCGCGATTGCCGACGCACTGCAGAGGGCCCCTGTGCAGACGCTCGACGCTCATGATCATTACCCAGAAAAAGGTGAAAAACGCTCCATTTAATCGGATCACCCTGCTAAAACCTCCATTCACGCATGCATGCAGAGGTTTTACGTGAAATGCATAGGACTCGTAGCTAAGTTGGGCATTCGGCGGAGAGTGAATGTCGGAAGAGTGAATCGGAAGTGTTTTGTTCTCTCGAGTGTGAACAAAAGTTTCTATTTTTCGTGTGAAGGGAAGCGCTGCAAACGCGAACAAAAACTGTTAAACAGAACCAAAAGTTACGCACGGCATAGCGGCAAGGGATCACTTAGAGATAGGTTTGGGACTTCCAGGCCATTTCAGGCCACTCAGGGTCAGTGCTGACTCTCAGAAGCACGCTTAGGATCCCGGAGATCGGCGTGGGTCACCTCAAATATTTACGTGTGCCTACGTGGTGCTTTAGGGCTTTCCGAGCCCAAGGTGGGGCCCTCAGAAGCCAGTGTGGGCGGCGGGCGCTAAGAGACTATAGGCCCAGGGTGAGCCTGGAGCCCTCGAATAACAGTGTGAGCCCTCGGGGTCTGTGTCGAATCCCTAAGGACGCTACGTAGGGACATAATAAACATGTGTTGCGGACCTCAGAGGGACACGTGAGCTGTGACCCCTCAGATGCCGGTTTGGGGCTAGCAAAGTCTGTCGCCTCAAAAGTTTGGCTGAACTATCAGAGGCCAGTTAAGGTTCTCAGAAATGTTCGAAAGCTCAAAGATCCCTGTATGGGCCCTCAGAGAACATGGACACCAGTGGGACTTTCAGAGGCCGGTTTGGGCCCTCTGAAAGCTTCTTTAGAGCTCAGTGGAGCTCCTTAGGAGCCTTTGTTTACAGCAAGCTCATGAGCCCTGCGACACTTGTACGGTACTTGAGCCTGTCGCCGACATTTGACGAGAGTTGAGAAAGGCGCCGAAGATTTCGTTTCACGCTGTGAACGAAAATTGTGTCAGCAATCCAAAACTTATGAAAATCAGCTGTAAAATGTAATAAAGAACGAACTAGGAACATGGAATGAATCACAGCATTGACAATTCCGAGTCTGGACACGGAGCCTTGAAGATTTTGGCGACTGCGAGTCAGACTCTGGTTTGAATTGCACGCTCTAACCGAGTCTGACCTCACAGGCATTCTCAGAAAGGTATCCCCATTTTTTCCCCGACTCCAAAATCTCATCGGATCTGTATCGATCTCAGGGGGTGCCCGGTCTGAGGTTGGGGGGGCAAGCTGCCCCGCTTGCCCCCCCGTGGCGACGCTAATGGGCCGGTGCCATGTTTCATATTTTTTCTCGACAATGAGAACAATACTCGTACTCGTATTTACCTTGATCTCTCAGTCTCTTAGATCCCAGGAACCGCATAACTGGCCAACAGCTTACTTCATGAAGATGAGATCACTTGGGCACATATGTATTTGGTAAACTCAATCATGCTCCACGAAATAAGATAAATAATATTGTTCTGTTCGAATGAAATTTGTAGCTAAATTTTCGATCTTGCGCGACAAAAATAAAACTTATTGAAGAGGACATTCAATGAAAGCATCATTTTATTGATTTAGGATCAACAGGGGTGGGTGACCCGAACCTCCCGGTTGGGACGCCAGAATGTGCGTAGCATCTCAGCTCATAATCTTGCAAGAAAGCTTCAAATTGTCTATCCAGTCTTAATTTGCATGCTTTATACTTTATGTTAGCGATGGTCTGACATAATAAAACGAGCCTGGCTCAAATTTATCATGAATTTTCTGTATATACTATATAGGTACCGTATTTTACTCATAGAGGGCAAAAACGTGTTATCACCGCTCATTGCCAAAGAAGACTGAGGAAGATTTTGGAAATCACGTGGGTTGTATAACGGAATGGCTGCTACCAGTTAATGCCGTCAAATGTGTAAAAATACGCAACACTTTTTCAAAACTGCGATGGCCCATACCTCCAGGGGCCCATACCTACCTCCCGGGTCTCACCTACACCTTTTAATCAGCTTATGACATGCAAACCTGAAACCACAGTGAACCCATTCTGAAATGTGTATCAACTTCTATTGTGAAAAATTTACGCCGCCTTTCCTCATTTTCAGCAGCGTATGTATTTGATCACTGGCTAGTTTTACCTAAC